GTTTTTCTTCATTACCCATTTAAGCCGTCTCCAGCCATTATTAGTCTCAAAGTGGGTTCCTCGTCATCGAATTTAAATAGCTATCAGATAATAATTCTGTTGATTATCATCTTGAAGTAACAACCATAGGCCAGATAAGGATTTTGTTGTTGGAGTAATAACCTCATACAAAGAACGTAGTTTCTGTTAAACAGCAGATTGAAGCAACAACCCTATATATATATAATGGACAAAACTATTAAAGACCAAGATTGAGTAAAAACCTCATACAACGAACGTAGTTTCTGTTAAACAGCAGCCTTATATATCTCTACTGGACAAGATTCCTATTAAAATCCAAAATTAGATCGTTTGTGAATGTTACCATTAGGCACAATATACTTTGATCATTTCGTAGGTCGTACAAATCAAACTGTTGCTTAAAGCCCTGATTTTTTTTAGTAAATGGAGTTTCTTTTGATCCCTTTTTATTCTTAATACAACATTTTTTCTTAGGTCTATTCAACTAATAACCAGCTAGTGACGTCATTTCGTAAAAACTATAGGTGTGGTAAAATAAAGTAAAAAGCATTAAATCAGATTAACCAAATCCTAAGAATAACTATTATTTAGTAAACAATACTGAATTACGGAAGAAGTAGTAAACAATACTGAAGTACAATAGGAAGAAGGAGTCAAAAATACTGAATTACGGAAGAAGGAGTAAACAATACTGAATTACGGAAGAAGTAGTAAACAATACTGAAGTACAATAGGAAGAAGGAGTCAAAAATACTGAATTACGGAAGAAGGAGTAAACAATACTGAATTACGGAAGAAGTAGTAAACAATACTGAAGTACAATAGGAAGGAGTAAACAATACTGAAGTACAAGAAGAAGAAGGAGTAAACAATACTAACCTACACTGAGCTAACCGATAAATGAAACTATAATTGTTCACTAGTAAACAAGCAATGAAAAGTAGAGCGAAAAGTTTACAAAACGAAAACGGAATAAGCTATAGTGAATAACAATATGAAGAAGAAGTAAACAATACTGAAGTACAATAGGAAGAAGGAGTAAACAATACTGAAGTACAACAGGAAGAAGGAGTCAAAAATACTGAATTACGGAAGAAGTAGTAAACAATACTGAAGTACAATAGGAAGAAGGAGTAAACAATACTGAAGTACAAGAAGAAGAAGGAGTAAACAATACTGAAATGCAATATGAAGAAGGAGTAAACAATACTGAATTACGGAAGAAGTAGTAAACCATACTGAAGTACAATAGGAAGAAGGAGTCAAAAATACTGAATTACGGAAGAAGGAGTAAACAATACTGAAATGCAATATGAAGAAGGAGTAAACAATACTGAATTACGGAAGAAGTAGTAAACCATACTGAAGTACAATAGGAAGAAGGAGTAAAAATACTGAATTACGGAAGAAGGAGTAAACAATACTGAAGTACAATAGGAAGAAGGACCTTCTGATTCCTCACAGTGTTTTATATGGTTAGCAGCTCAGTAATAACTACTTACAGCCAAGTACTCACGTTTCGGTTTTAATCGTTTCGTTGGAATTCGTGGAACTACAAAATTGGTAAGTTCTGGAAACAGAAGGCGAATTTTAAAAGCATATTAAAATGAAAGTATTCCTAGGTGAGTTTAGCCTAATGGCGGCGTCGTCTTTCGGAAGTCACCAGGACTGCAGATATACAACACTGTAAGGCATCACAAAGCACTGAGCTGCTAATCATATAAAACACTGTGAGGAATTAGAAAGCACTGAGCTGCTAATCATATAAAACACTGTGAGGAATTAGATAGCATAGATAGTAATTACATCTACGTTTAGTTTTGTTTCATATCTTACATTTGGCTGATTTAAATTATTCTTACATCTATACAACATTCACAAACTCCTAGTTTATCTTTTATTTCGTCTTTTTAGCGTAGTGCTAAAAAAAAACCTTAAGCTGACTTCAAAAAACGTTTATATGTACATATAGAGAGAGTGTGTATGTGAGAATATCAAAGCCACATTAGACTATCCGCTGTGTCCACCGAGGGGAATCAAACCCCTGGTTTTAGTGATGTAAATCCGTAGACTTACCGCTGTCCCACCGAGGGGGACCGTATGTTAATTAATTCATGCTTTTGTTAAGAATCTTGAATAATTTCTGTCACTTTCTATATAAATTAAAAATGAAATTTATTGCTGTGAAAAATTCTTCATCACTATCTAGATGTCAGGTTTTTTTTTGTAAATTTTTATACTTATTTAAATTTGATGTTTCGTTTCTGTTATTTTTCAGTAACCCTAGTCTTCGAATCAAAAACCATTAAGGGCAAAACAGGTTTCACCATACGGGAGAATCGAACAAACCTGTACCTGTGTTTCAATAATAAAGGCAAACCCATAGCTATGGTGAGTCTGTTATCAAAGTGTCTACTCCTAGCGTGTTTCAAACGCACTAACTTTTTTTTACAAGACTGTGTTTGAAAATATAATTTTTTTTTCGTTTTTGCAACTACTCTAAGTTTAGAACTGACATGTAGCCACAAGTAATATATATATATACTTTAGAAAAAAAAACAAAACTTACAATTGGAAATTTAAACTATTCACTATAGATACAAATAACCTAGAAATATAAAAATAAAAATTACAGAGCCACGCTCTCCTCCTAGTCTTTCAGGGGTTAATAAATAAGATAACATTATTGGTTACGTATCTTAGTTAAGTCTTCATTGGAAAATAACCTTGTTTTGTGTTAACTGTATCAAAATATCCTTAGAAACTTTACGTATAAAACGCATAAAGTTTATATCCCAAACCCAGTGTTTGTTTCTTGTACAAACTTCTGGGGCCAGGTGATTAGGGGGCGCTCGACTCGCAGTCTGCGGGTCGCGAGTTCAAATCCCCCTCACACCAAACATGCTCGCCCTTTCAGCCGTGGGGGCGTTATAATGTGACGGTCAATCCCACTTTTCGTTGGTAAAAGAGTAGCCCAAGAGTTGGCGGTGGGTGGTGACGACTAGCTGCCTTCCCTCTAGTCTTACACTCCTAAAACAAACAAAAATTCTGGATATTTTGCATCAAAAACCTTTTTAGGTGCGACGACAGACCAATTCTCGTCTAATCCGGATCGGGATTTAGGTCTGGTGTATCACTTCTTCCTCCAGTTCGTTGAAAATCGTTTTCTTAATATAAGAATTTCGCGCGTTACGAACCTATACAAATCTCGAAAACACTTGTCACTCATTGTATATGTGTTGGTATTAATGTTTTAAATCTAATTCTTTTTAATCAATATTCTTAACTCTCCAGAAAATTGTAACGTATTCCGTAGAAACTATTCTGATTAAGAGTTGTTTTAAGATATAAGTATATTCTTAACAAATGGTGTTTAATATTCAAATATACTATAATTAATCGTCTTGTGGATATCAGAATTGAAATTTCTCACCTTGAACGCATTTATGTTAGACGGTCAGACCCGAGACCCCAAAAGGATTTGGGTATGACTGTCCCCAATTTTAGACTACTAACCAGGGAGGAAAACAGCATTCACTGTCATAATAGCTTTTTCGGCTCTTTAAGCTGAATTACAGGATTGACTGTCACTCTTATCTCGCACCCAACACTGAAAATGTTTAGCAGCACCTAGTCTCAAATCCCAAATACTACGTCCGCAGCCCGACACACTAAACACTAGGCCTCGCTCTTCAAATTCGACGTTCTATCCGTACTGTAGCCACAGTACTGATAGCCCACTGTGCAGATGTGCCTTTAAAAATAAACAAACAAAGACTCCTCCGTTACAGTAAGCCTGCAGGCATATGACGCAGAAAATCGGATTTCGATACCCATGATGGGCAGAGCAAAGCTTATGTAACGTTGCGCTTAACAATAACCGAAAAACAAACCGTTTCAGTAGCTCCGTGTTTACGTAATTTCTTCATCAATTTGAATATTTGGAGCCTTAATCTTTACTTTCAGTGTTTTTCCTCAACTTCTCTCGTGATCAAGAACGTTAGTAACTGATATTTTAATTGTTATAATGTCGTAGAAAACTGTAGTGGCGTTACAAATTGCGACATTGGTACAACAAACTTTTGTTGTTGTTTTTGTCTTCAAATGCTACATCACACTTTGATAATAAAGACACGAATACTATATTCGGAGGGTGGTTAGCGTGCCAGGCTGCGTCCCGATAGGTTTAAGTGTCGAGCCGCGATATGCCGCTTGAACGCGATCCGCCCTTTCGACTTTAGAGGCGTTATAATTGCGACAGTCAATCATGCTATTCGGCTAATAGTAAGACCACATAACAGATTCCCGATGCTGTTAATTGCTAGCTCTTCCACTAGTCTACAACGATAAATTTGGGACGATTGCACTTTGACCCACATGTCGCCTAAGTTGCGTTTCTGGTAAAAAAAAACAAAAAAAAAACATTCATACTGGGATGACTTTTCCCCCTTTTGGCCACACTGACTACTAATGCGTATGCCTATTTAGTTATTCTTATTACTGTTATTTAACCCACGTTATTGAAAAGCCGATCATACCGTTCTTTATCAGTTGTAGTTGCTATGAAGATACATTGTTAACTTTGTATATGATTCTATTACCATAAATCCGCTTTAATGATTTTTGGTTTCTTCAAATGGAAGTGATTCAGTCAAGTTTCAAGCTTGCAAATATTTGTTTCCAAAATTGGTGCATATGGTTAGCTGTCGCTGATTGCAGGAATTGCAACAAGCGCTTGATATTTGCTACCTTATCGAACAGCCACGAGAGTGACATATGAAGCAGCAGGTGGTGCCCCCTGCTGGTCAGGAGGCGACTTGCTCGGCTGGGGTCAAATGTACACATTACTTTACTATGGTGAACGATGTCATTCCAGTGTTGCTGGCATAATTCACGTAGCTGTCTGTACACTGCCTTGTTTGGCAGGATTCTGCTGTTGTAAGAAGTGCCACCTGTCGGTTAGGTCACATTCCTTTTTACCATCAAGAAGAAATTGCCACAACTGTCGCCTCTTTAATGGCCTAGTTAGAGCAATATTGTTTCGACACTGAAATATAACGTTTAAGTTACCAGGTTTAGAATTTTAGGGTATTTGACCGAAAACCAATCATTGACGCTTTACCAGATTTTGGTTAATATTTTAGGTTTTTATTTAATGTCAATTAACTCAGGATGCTATGTATTATATAATACATCTTCGTCGAATTAAATGCAAAATAATATATTCATTCCATATATATGTGTGTGTTGCAATCCCTAACAAGGTGTATGTCATCAGGACATTTTTTCTTGGGGGGGAGGGGTGCAACTATAATACAGGGTGAATGTAATCAAGACGTTTTTTTTTATATATGTGTGTGTGCGCACAACTTTAAAACAGAGGTGTAGACAATAATAACGTTTTCCTTTTTTTTTTATCTATAAAACAACTATATAAATTGTGCACCTGACACCTTAGGGTAGCGCTTCCCAAACATTTTCCCCCATACGACTCTATTTTGAAACATACAAATTTACGAGACCTCGGACAGCACTTAAAACAACATAGCAACCAGCACGTTTAAGAGGGCGATTTTCAAAGCCTTTTAATTCAAAACAAAGGTAGGCCTAATTGTAATCGTCTACTTGAGACTCCATCGGTCTACTCCAAGACCCCACATTAAGTTACACAATTCTAAGAACCCCATAAGTGAAATCAGGGGAGAATATAATATGTCAACTACATAACTTCTGCCATATTTAGTGCCGACGAGGCCTTTCGCTTAATACTAGAGCTCATCAAACCGGGTTTAGTAGAAGTTGAGGTGCTCTATATATATTGATATCCTCAATTTTCATGAACAGCGACCAATATGGTGTGCATCAAATGAAGCATCTGAATTATAATTATTGTAAATGTTATTTATCTCATTTTACAAGTCAGATTTTAGGATAAGAATGAACAATAACATTGCTCGTGTTTCTTCAATTTTAACACCGATTATTTATTTGCTTATATTTATTATTATTTATTTATATATATTTTAAAGTAAATCAAGTTGCTGATACTACAGCAGTGTTCGTTAGGTTCATGTAATTCAGTGAAACTTTAGGTATGCTAATTAAATAACGATAAGTAAAATAAAGTCAATAACTTCTCTCCATATCAGCACTACTTGTATGACATGATTTCAGTGAAAGTCATAACATATCAGCACAAATCATGTCATACAAGTACAGTTATGACTTTCACTGTACTTGTATGACATGATTTGTGCTGATATGTTATGACTTTCACATATCAGCACAAATCCTGTCATACAAGTACAGTGAAAGTCATAATATACCAGCACAATGACATCCTAGTACGTTGAAAGTCACACCTCATCAATAAAACTAATGTTAAATATAACCGTAGTCTAATAACTTACTGTAGTCGATAGTTTAGTGCGATAAAATTAAACTTTTTTATATACAGTTGAGTTTATCATAATGCTTGAAATGACAGTGTGATGACGGTGACGCAGCGAATAAATACGTTTAACTTAAAAATAGTATACGACGACAAAGCATTGTATTAATAGAAACACGATGATAACAATACGGATAATATAATATATATATTACATCAATAAAAATCAGTATGATAAAAATTACAGTGTACACCTCAGATCATAGTTCAATATAATAATAATACAATAAGTGTTCCTGACGATGACGAGACAGTGAATAGATGAGATCATAGTTTACATAATTATACGCTGAACAATGACTTTTTGCAACAATGCTATTAATGCTTCAGTGTGTACGTCACAAGTAAATAGGGAACGTGCTAGAACATAACAACTTACAGTAGACAGCTGATCAGCAAGGTTCTAAAGCACAGCAGAGCGAGAGAGAGAGAGAGAAAAATGTCAGACTTTGTGTGTGTGTGTGTGTGTGTGAGGTCCTGTCGGACGTGAAACAAGAGATGACAAGAACAGATTTCACTCAACGTTAAATCGCTAGTTACCACCGCCATGTTTTTGTTCTGTTGTCATCAGTGGTTGATGCATTTGGTGGTGGGAAACTTGACGGCAGCTTTGAAGTCAGTTATACGAGTCGTTGGTAGAGATTCAGAATATGTTTTTCTTTCTCAACACTATCCGAGGCTGTATTTCAGCGATGTTTTTACTCACCGCCAGGTTGCGTGACGCCACCTGTAAATCATTCTTTGTCGTTAAAGTTCAAATCTCTAGATATTGCGATAGTTTTACAGAAGCTTCATATCATCAGTAACGAATGATAAGAAAATCGTTAGGGATACCCTGAACTTATTATTAAACATACTTTGGTACGCCAATTTTAAATCAGTTTTTAATGCTTGTTTTTGGTAACCTTGTTGTTTTTAACGTGTAGCATTTATTTTTATTAACCTTTTACCTAATAATGTTTTTGTTCACGTGTTGTTGTTGTTGTTGTTGTTTTAATTGAATACATATATCAACCTTGCGATGATTTCATTTATATTATGTAAAAAAAGAAATATTCTGAGACTCTTGTTCGATTATTTTTGTAAATTGTTAAATATCATACTTTTTAGGTTAGGGGGCGCTCGACTCGCAATCTGTGGGTCGCGGGTTCGAATCCCCGTCACACCAAACATGCTCACCTTTTCAGCCGTGGGGGCGTTATAATGTGACGGTCAATCCCACTTTTCGTTGGTAAAAGAGTAGCCCAAGAGTTGGCGGTGGGTGGTGATGACTAGCTGCCTTCCCTCTAGCCTTACACTGCTAACTGCTAGCGTAGATAGCCCTCGTGTAGCTTTGCGCGAAATTCAAAAACAAACAAACATACATACATACTTTGAAGTATTTAATATTTTGTTTTAAGATAGTAATTTGTTTTACTGTAGTAATTACAGTTGCAAAGATTAAGGTGAAAATCCATGATTGTTTAGCGAAATTTAACTTTTTTTCTTGTATCTTACTTTGACACGCGAAATTTTAACACCACAGTCTCTCGATCTGTATTTAACACTATCGTAACTTTTGAAGTTAAAGCAAACGAAAACTAAAACAATGTTTGTGTTTGTTTTGAATTTCGCGCAAAGCTACACGAGGGCTATCTGCGCTAGCCGTCCC